AGGTTCATCATTTGGTTATTTTGCAAAATGTCAGGATTATTCCAGATAGGTGTGCGCCTGCATGGTATTAGTGAAGACTCTGTCATTTTTAGTTACTCCCACCATGCTGTCAGAGAGGTGCTACTAATACTTTTGATGCTTTCATGTTTTCTTATGCTTGAGCTAATAAATGGTAAGTCTGAAAGCTCTATCGTATTGCAAAGTGTCTGTTCTATATCTAACCAGGACTCATCTAGTGGGTTATCTTGCAACCATCTTGGTATATATTGCAGCTTGTTGGCATAATAATAAAAGTTGGGTAAATCCAGTCCTCCTCTGTCTTTGGTCTTCTGAAGCATGTTTAAGCTAATTCGTGGAGGTTTATCCTGCCAAAGGAATTTAGTAATTGAGGAGACCAGAGATTTAAACCAGTCAGCTGGTGGTTTATTTGGGATCATCGAAAATAAGTAATTTATTCTGGGTAAGATCATCATTTTAATTGTAGCAACCCTCCCCATGAGTGATATCGGTAAGGATTTCCATCTTGCAAGATCATCTTCCACTTTCTTTAAAAGTAGTATATAGTTTAGTGTGGTTAGATCTGCCAGCTTGGGAGAGACATTAATTCCCAGGTATGTGATATTCCCTGACTCCAATTGTGTATTAAGCAAATTGACAAAAGAGGAATTAATTGGTAGATCTGTGGATTTTAACCAGTTTATAGAGTAATCTGAAACTCTTGAAAAAGAGTATCAGTTCTATTGAATGGGAGAGAGAGGATTGAGAATTCTGGAGAAAGAGTAAAACATCATCTGCATAAAGACTGATCTTATGTTTTATTTTCTTACACTCTATCCCTTAAATATCTGTTATTTGCCTAATTGCTGCTGCTAGTGGTTCGATAAAAATAGCAAACAGTGATGGGGAGAGTGGGCATCCCTGCCTGGTCCCCCTCTGAAGACAGAAGCTAGCTGATATTTGGTCGTTTGTCCTGACACGTGCTGTTGGTGAACTGTATAATGTTTGTAGCCAGTTTATGAAGAAGTTCCCAAAACCAAATTTATGTAAAGTTGCAAATAAGAACTTCCAGTTAACTCTATCAAAAGCCTTTTCTGCATCTAGAGATAATATACTAGTTTCTATATTTCTACTGTAAGAGAAATCTATCAAATTTAGTAATCTATGCGAGTTTGTGGATGAAGGGGGTTACCTTCTCTAATCTTTTTGCCAGGGCTTTACAAATTATTTTGAGATCAACATTAATAACTGAAATTGGGCGATAGCTGGTAGGAAATGCAGGGTCTTTGCCTGGTTTTAACAAGAGACTAATATTGGCTGAATTCATGTTTGGCTGTAATCTGCTGCTCTCTTCGATTTCCCTCACCATTCTGAAAAATATTGGAGCCAGAATGATCCAGAATTCTTTGTAGAACTCTGCTGGAAACCCGTCTGGACCTGGAGCTTTCCTATTACTCATGGATTTAAGGGCTTCCTGGAGCTCAGCTGATGTTAGTGGCGAGTCCAGGACTGTAGCTTGGCTGTCTGATAATTTAGAAAGTGTTATCCTGTCAAGGAACTCATTGATCTCGTTATCTGATGGGTTTATCTGTGGTGAGTACAAAGTTTGGTAAAAGTCTCTGAAAGTGTTGTTTATTCTTTCAGAGTCACAAACTATATTCCCGGTTGAGTCTTTAACAGCAGATATGGTAGTTTTCTCTTCATTAATTTTTAACTGGCCAGCTAAAAATTTACCTGTTTTATTGCTATGCTCAAAGTTTTCTATTCATAGTCTTTGTGCTAAAAATTGTCTTTTTGTCAATAATTCCAAGAAGTTCTAATTTAGCTTTACGTAATTTGCTCAGTAACTCTTCTGTGGATGCCTCTAAAGACTTAATGATTTCCTCTATCTCCTGAATACGTTTGTTTTCTGTTTTTTTTCTTATGTGATGAGAAAGAGATTATTTTACCTCTCATCACTGCCTTTCCTGCCTCCCAGAGAATAGATGCTGATGCTCCAGGCAGGTCATTATGTTCTAAATATAAAGCCCACTCCTTTTTAAAAAATTCTATAAAACCTTCGTCTTTGAGCAGTGATGTATTAAACCTCCAGTTTTTGTTTGGTGGGATTGTCTTCTTGTTTACCAGAGTTAAAGAAACCGGAGCATGGTCGCTGACAGTTATGGGGTGTATCTGTGTCTGAAATGTCAGCTAACAATTGAGCTGCTGACTAGAAAATAATCCAAACGTGAAAGAGTGATGGACGTGTGAGATAAAAGTATACTCTCTACGGTTAGGATGAAGAGATCGCCATGCATCACAAAGCCCATAATCGCTCATATACTGTTTAACTATATTGGTGGATTGCCAATTGCGCTGAGTCCCAGCTGTACTGAGCCTGTCTGTTAAAGTGTCCATCCAAAAATTAAAATCACCTCCAAGTATAAGTGGACAGTCCAAGTGCTTGGAGAGTACAGAGCAAAAATTATGAAAGAATGGATGGTCATAAATATTTGGACAGTATATGCTGACGATAAATAAGCTTTGGTTTTGTGTAGATATTTTTAACATTATAAATCTACCCTCTGGATCTGAAATTGTGTCCAATACTGTGAAATTGATGTTTTTGTGTATTAAAATAGCGACTCCCCTTTGCCTAGAGTTATAGCATGCAGAGAACATGCTGGGAAACTCAGGTGTTTTAAGTTAATCTGCAGATGTGGCAGATCTATGAGTCTCTTGTAATAATATTATGTCTGCTTGCACTCTTTTTAACTGATCTGATTCAAAATGAATTTTCAACACGGGTGAACGTGCCTGCAAGTTCAGAAAAGGAAACAGCACTGATAGCATTCATATTTCTAGATGGTTATAAAATAAAAACAGAACTTACACGTTATTACCGGTAATTTGCATGTTTAGAAGAAAAGAACAGCGCTGACACAGCATTAATAAGCCCTGGATGGTTCGAAAATAAAAACTGCACACAAAACATGCCTGGTTAGTAAATAAAACACACTTGCCTACCAGAAAAAGTAATTCACTCTCATCTTCCTCTTGCGCACTAAAGCCATTAAAGTCCTCTTCTCCAGTGTCGGAGTTGAACAGCCTCAGAAGAGCTTCGTCACATTCCTTTTCTGTGGCGATGTCAGTGCCGCTGTCCGTGTTGCTGTCATCATCCCCGGGTGAAGCTGGCTTGAATGAGTTCTTCCCGCTGCCGTCTCCAGCGCCGAACCATGGATTCATTCATGCCAAGCTTACGTGCGGCAGCACTGTTACCCTCCTTTAATGCCAGATCGATGGCCTTCAACTTAAATGCGGCAACATATGAACTCATACGTGTAGTTATCTTGATGAGGGGGTATGGATTTGAAAAAAAATATTTCGTTGTGTCGGCTGCTTGCATGTACTAAATTAAAATGAGCACTTTCTTCGATTTCCACTTTTGACTTCCACCTGTTTCAGTTTCTGCTGAAGCGCCCCCTGCAGGTGAAGGAAAATCTTCAGTAAAGCCGCATGGTTCAAAGCGTGGAAAAAAGTAGCGGCTTATAGTCCGGAAAATACGGTAGTTTGTTTAATAAGATCGCACATTGATTGTTTTTGTAATCTTGAAATAGTTTCTGTCATCAGTTAAAATTGTTTAACTGCTTTGGAACGATGCCCATCTTATGACTTTTCTTAAAGAGCAAGTAACGTCTAAATTAACTTTTTTTTGCTGATGAACTGTATAAATGAGTGTCTAATTGTGTTTTAAATGTGTGCATTCTTTATTTTAGCATTTTGGTTCATTTTCTTTAAAAATTAAAAATTCTGTCTAAAAACCACAGTAATGCGCCACCTTCAGCTGAAAACATAGAATTTGAGTCATTTTGAATAAATTTTAGCCAATGGCTAAAGAGTAAAGTACTACGTAAACCAGTAGAGTACTACGTAGCAGCTCCGTGCCAAAGTTATAAAAGCAACGGGCGTCTCGGCCACGCCCTGTGGCGCGTGGGAGTTGGATTTGCAAGCGAGCATAGGAGGGCAGCGGTAGTTCAGCATTAGCATATAGCATTAGCATATCCTAGTCTTTAGCATATCTTTTAGTGTTATAAATACTTATTTAGTGTTAGCTTGGCTGTTGGATATTGTAGTTTAGTTAGTGTTTGGCTGTTAGCGTAATTGGGAAAGTATTTCGGTTTTAGTGTTCATATCGTCTTAGTATTGGTGAGATGGTGTAATGTAGTATGCTTGCGGTGACTCTGTGGGCATTTTACCCGCGATTCTGCACGTCTCCGTTTGAAGAGGGAGGCTGCCCACCGTGGCTCTTCCGCGATTTAGATGCATCCCACCGACTCTGCTCCCCCACCACGGCGGGCTCCAGTCTGAGGTGAGTAAGCTAAATAAACGTTTTAACATCTTCTAAAGACAATTCCCTACCTAAATGCAAAGTCTGAGAGACGTGGTTCACTTCCTTTAGCTAGTCAGTTGGCAATTCTGCAACAGTGGCTCTAACTGACGCAGCAGTTGACAGACAGCATTACAGCGTGAAATCCAGCTGGTGACCCGGTTCTGTGAGGAATTCTGTTCAGGAGGTCACATTTCAGGCTCTCCACATCATGTGTGACTGACTTTTACGTTATAACAACGATCACACACTAGGAATGTTATAAAGCGCCTATATAGGAGATTCTTTTGTATATTATCTGACTTTATAAACTCCAACAACAATGTGCTTCTATTTTTTTTCAGGCTAAATCTACCCAAGACACTGGTTGTCAGACTGATTTAGCTGCAAGAATGCACTTGTCCAGGCTGATGTGAAACCTTCCCTGTAGCAAAGGTGAATTATTTTTAATAATCTTCTATGTAAACATTTTATTATCACCTTCTAGTTTTAATTTGTTTTACAGATTATTGTTATACGTGATTTTATGCTCTTTTAAACATTTATAAATGTGCTGCTTCTTTGTTTTTACATAGCCAGTCAGAATGGAGTCCACAGCCGCAGTGTGTCTGGTGACCCACGGTGACCATGATGAAAATTCATCTTCCAGAAAGTCCCAGAGCGTCCAGACCCCCTGAAAAGACCAAGATGTAAGGTGTCTGCTGTTGATTCCAGCTTCCACCTCAGTGACAGTGCAAGCTCAGTGAACTGTTCAAGGTAATAAATAAAAATTAAAACATTTCAGATTTTTTAAGATATTAACAATTAAATAAGTATGTGATTACATCATGACGGGGGCTACTGATTCTGCCCCTGTGACACTTGGTGGTGACGTGTGAGCTGATTCACCTGGAAAACAACTTTTACATTAAATATTTTGTTTTTGCTATCAAAAGTAAATTAACTAATAACCTGCATTATTGCAGGCCACTCAGCAAAATATGGACTCTACACCATGAGGCATGCACACATTAATATTCTATAAGAGCACATAAGGTGAGCAACACCACATATTATTGTACACTGTCCTGAATTTGTTTTCTTTCTGCATCTCATTAGCTTGGCTGATCACCTGATAACTCCTGTCATCTGGTTATGACAGCATGAGGATGTCCTCACACACCTGTAACCTATCAGCTCATCTGGCAGAATAGAGAGAGAAGAGACAACACCACATCTCCTGTTCCTGGAAAGCCTTCAGCCATCCTTTGATGACTGAGAACCTCCATCAGCTCTGTCTCCTGTCTGCCTACAATTATTATAATAAATATTGTGTTTGACAAGTTTTTTGTGCTGCCAAATATCTCATTTAGATTCCAGTTTTGATATTTTAATGGATATTTATAAATTACATTGATTATCACATTTTTGTTGCATGTTTAACTAGCTATTGTGATGAATTAAACTAGCACCTCGCTGTTAAAAGCTCATTTTAATTTCAAGCATGTTTAAGTATTTATGGACATGAACAAAAACAGGAAATATATAAATTGAGATTTATTTAATTAATATAACAAATAAGGGGGAAAGAGTCATTGAAAGGCACATTCTTCTGGAAGCTCCTGATCCTGATGGCACCAGCAGAGGAGACCACCTGCAGACACCAGAGGCCAGCTGCAGACACCAGAGGACCTAGAACCGAGAGAGCAGCTGTTATTAGTAAATAAATAAAGAAATCAGGGCAGTTTTAGTGGGCTGAAAACATTACAGAATAATTTTCTCATGGGGTATTTTCATAACTTTATATGCAGCAGACTGTAACTTGAGCCCAGAGCTACCGGAGAGCTGCTATCCAGCATGTTTCAGTGGATTTTCCTGCTTTAACAGGTTAGATTAGCTGTTAAGCAGCTCAGCTATTTGTTGCTGATTAAAACCAGGTGTGCTGAAGCAGATAAACCTCTAAAACATGCTGAATACTAGCTTTTTAGGGCTGTGGAGACAAACCCTGCAGCTAATCCAATGCTATGGCTAACGGCTACTTACCTTTCAGAGGTGATTCTGTTGGGTCGGTTCTGGGAGTTTCAGGCAACTCACAAGCTCAAAACAATAAGACTCAGGTCCACTTGTCTCCTCCAAATAGACTTGGTCCCTTTCTTCTCGAGTGTCTGTGTAAAGAGGGGGAGAAACGTCCTCCACTTCTAATGACCGCTCAGAGTGAAGGGAGCTAGCTTCGTCTAGTTAGCCATCGTCTTCGTCACTGCCGCGGCTCCGCCCACTCGGTCCTCCAGGCAACGCCTACTAATGTTGCATTTTTTAAAATTGATACGTGGGTGGAGAAAGACTCCGAGGCTCAATTGACCCGCTCTTTAAGCATTTCTAGAGAATTCAAGAACTTTTCTGTGAATATCAAATCAAGAAAAAGCTATTTCCATTATCTGTATTTTTTAAACAAGCTTGTCATAAGTCAGAATCTTTACATTTTAATTGGTTTTGATTGCATGTTTTTTTTCCCATCAGGCGTGTCCAACTATGTTCTTTTACTGCTTTACATTCATTGTGCTTTCTTCCTGTGTTCATTAACCATTATTTCTACCAGCTGCTCTCTCTCAGCAATCAGCTCTCCCTTCATAACTACTCCCTAGTTTCTCTACCTTTCATTTGTCAGATCCTGTCACAACTAAACACCCACTGTTCTGTTACTTCCATGTTTCTTTATCTCCAAGGTTTTTCCTTCTAGCTTCTCTCCTGCTTTGATATTTTGAAGCATTTTTGCTGTCACCTCAGCACTTTCCTTAAACATCCCATATCAGAATCAGAATCTTCATCATTGTAGCCATCAGGCATTGTACAATGAAATAAAGATGCAGTTTTCCAGTGAAATAATAGAATAAAAACACTATTAACACTCTAATTAAATAGCCAGTAAAATGATAATAAATAAAAATAAACAAATGAACAAGATAAGAAACTAAAAACGGCTTTGACATACATTCATAGGTCTTGACAGACGCTGTGTTGTAAACGTAATACCATGTTGTACTGTAAGCATTAAAGGTGCAATGGGTCTGACTGACCACTTAGCAGTATTCAGCATGGGGATGGTCGAAGGATAAAAACGGTTTCTTAGTCTGTTTATTTTTATGGATCTGAAACGTCTGCCTTAGGGCAGGCATCCTGGGTGTGATGGGCCCTGAAGGATTATTTTAATGTTCCTGAGACAACAGCAGCTATGGAGTACATCAGTTGAGGGAGAGGACAGCCAGCTCGCCTGTGAGCAACCTTAATGACCCTGTGGAGCTCTTTCTCTGTGCTACTGTGCAGCTAGAGAACCACGGTAGACCATGATGCTCATATCATTAAATTATGGCTCCTCCCTCCTCACATGTGACCCTTCTTTCCACTGGATGTGAATGTGGTGTGTAATGAAATAGTCCCATTGGTCATCACAGACTAGTGAAATTCATCTCCACATTTGACCCATCCCCTTTGGGAGCGGTGAGCTGCAGCTACGCATGGGAACTATTTGGTGGTTTAACCCTCCAGTCAAACCCCTTAAAGCTGAGTGTCAAGCAGGTTTTGGTATGACCCAACTGGGATTTGAATCCCGATCTCCCAGTCCCAGGGCGGACACTCTACCACTAAGCCACTGAGAAGGTTTTCACCCACGAGCTCCCTTCCAACCGTGAGCGAAAGCTTTCCACGCCGCTGGTCCCTCAATGTCACAAAATCACGGGAGAATTGCAACACCGCGCGTGATTTCAGAAGCTCACACAATAACAAGCAAGGAGAAAGATGGCTGAATGTGTCCGAAGAGGTCTGTGGTGTATTTTCTGTTTGGATTACGTTGGCCACGGGGGTTTCACAGGAAGTGACGTATGTTTATCTGCACGTGACTTTGGGGGGTCAGCAGTAGCTCAGGAGGGAGAGCGGGTTGTCCAGTAACGGGAAGGTTGTAGGCTTGATCCTGGCTCCGGACAGGGAATTCTGCTGTTCTCTTTGGGCCTCGCCTCTGTCAATGAGCACCAGGGCAGCTGTAGCTACAATGTAGCTCATCGCCATCAATGTGTGAATGGATGAATGATACACTGTATTGTAAAGCGCTTTGGAGTCCTCTGACTCTGAAAGGCACTATAAAAGTGTGGGTCATTTTTTATCATTTTATTTTGAAAGTTTTTTACGTTTCATGTTTGACTTCCTGTCTGGCCCAATCTAAACTGGCGTGTTTTGGAAGCGCAGCGTGTTAAGAAAATAGACTCAAAACGTAACGATAGCATCCCTTCGCTTTTGGGACACGTCCAAAAGGTTGCACTTTGCTGCCAATGTAGAGGAAAACATTCACTAGTCTTATTCCACAAACGAAGGAGTGAGAGGTCTTTTAGTATCCAAATGTCTTCAGTTTGTACCATTGATGCCATCTCTGTCTGACAGCCAATGGTATTTATTTCCTCCTGAGGTGAAAAGGGGGGTGCGTGCTAATGCATTGGTACAACCTGCTGGGACGTTTCTCTAACCAAATGTTAAAATTCATTTTAATGGTTGCATGAAAGAAGAAACAATAAAAAAAATCAGCATGTGTTTTGGGGCTCTTTCTACTCACTACATGACTACATATAAATAAATGATGATGTGAAACAATGCACCAAGTTGTCATTAAATATTCATAATACAAATGTTTACATCGTCTAAAAAAATCCCAACAAGCTCAGATCAACAAACACCAAAGAGTTGATTCAGTGGCTGGATCACCTCTTCAGCATGCCACGTTGTGCAGAAGCCATTGGTTCAAATCTGGTGGGTTGGAAGCAAAGAAACATCTATGGCCATGTACACAATAGTCAGGTTTTTGTAAAAGAGTATCCTTCCCTGTCCATCTAGGAAAATAAATCTTGTCATCTTGTTTTGAGCTAACAAAAACAAAAATAAAAATAAAAATCCAATGCATTGTGAAGCACATTCATAGACATGTCAAGCCTGTAGGTGGCAGTAATTCCCCAAATTCTCTATGTCTTTGCCAAATGACATTCCTTGGGCATGGAATAACAAGGTGGTGGGCACTAATAGTCTTTGCTGAGAACGAAGAATTTGTAAATTTCCACCTTAAACGTTTTTGACTGAATTGTTTTTGGTGCCATACGTCTTTGCTTTTGTGTAGATGCCAGTTTGTTTTGTGGGATACCCAGCTAAGTGTGTGTACATGGGCTAAATGTGCAGAATAGTGACCCCCTAAGGGCCAGAAATGCCCACCTCTGGTAAAACTTTGAATAAAAAATAAAAATGCAGTAGGTGAATTAATAGAACTTTATTGCGAAACCATTGAAACCTTTAAGCCAAAAATCTGATTTAATCAGTATTAGTGATATGTGATCCAATGACATGGTCAGGTTGTCGTACAAGAGCAGTCTCAGCAGTTTCTCCTAAGGTCACTGCGCCGTCCTTGGCACAGAATTTGCTAATGTATATTACACTTAGGTTTTTGCACTGTGTGGGCATGTATGATCCTCCCTGGAATAAAAATGGCTTTGGATTACTTCCAGGTGGTTGTATTTTTGCATTAATTTTCCAGTCATGAAAAAGATTCCTCTTGTTTGAACATTCCCTACACATGCATCATATCCGTTTGTAATTGAATCTGCACTTGAGTGGATACTGATTGCTCTCCTTGCTGTTAATAGCTGCCATGCAGCATTTGCTAAAGATTTCGTATAACATTTAATTGCATTGTTCAAATTAACAGTGTCTTCTTGCAAATGTGTGCAACACTTCTGTGCACTTGAGAAGCGTGCTTTATTTCTGTGCATAGGTAATTGCTTTCCAGAGTTGCTCCTCTGAGGTCCCTGTAATACAATGCAGGGCCGTGATACAGTGATCTTACAGAAGTAAATATCATCAGATCAGGTGCAGCTTAAATGCCCCCGAAGACAATTTAGAGAACAAGCAGAGTGCAATCTCAGAATCACCACACAAATGATTTGCAGACGCATAGTAACTCGATCTCCAGCCCATCTAAATAAATCCATAGCAGACCATTCATGAAAATAGGAAGCCCTCTATTAAAGCCATTTGACAAAGTGGATGCTCGCCTGAATTCATTAATTCCAGCAGCTGTTCCTGAAGAATACTGATGAACTCTGACTCAAGGTTAAAGCCGTGCAAGTGGCCGCAGAAAGCCACAGGATGTGAGAATTAATCACCAATGGAAAATGTTACAACAGTTTCAACACTCACACCAAGCCATGGTGTGATTGAGGGCTATGAAATTTCGTACACCTGTGCAGTTTGTCCAGACCTACAAAAAAGTCTCCTGAAGCCATGGTCCAAACCCCACAGGAAGTCAGCCATTTTAGTC